GCGACCATCGCGCGATTCGCGCGATTGGTCATGATTTGACAAATGTGAATCGCGCGCCCATCGCGCGATTCGCGCGATGGTCGCGCGATTGGCACATTTCTCAAATCATGACCAATCGCGCGAATCGCGCGATGGTCGCGCGATTCACATTTGACCGGATCGCTCCAATCGCAGACTCTGACATCGGCCACTTAGCACCCCTTCTTCTACAAGTGTATTCATGGTCGATCATCCGATCATAGCAATCACACAGCACTAGCCACGTGTCGATCGTCGGACTTGTAGGATGATTGGACGATCAATAGACAACTAAAATGTTGCGCCACCGTTACAATCAGACTACCAACTATAAACGCACCCACATGCGCGAACTAGACAAAAAAAACTTGACAAACCTAACACATCCATCCTTTCGTAGGTTTGCCCTTCAACAGAGGACTGCGATTCGGCGTCGCTTTTTTGGCAATGATTATCGCTTCCCTTGCGAAGCATGCAACTGCAACTCCCTACAAGTCGAAAATCGATGAGTGGAAGGAACATTTTTGGGGTGCTAGTATGAATGACGCCACGTACAGTCGTATCCGAAAGTTGGGGTAGGCGTGTCACCGGAAGTGACGTGCACTTGATAGAAGTTGCGTGGATAAGCTGTTGCCAGCATGCTTTGCTGATATCCAGCGATGTATGTTGGAAGCAGCTTATCCACATAGCTTCTATCAAGTGCACGTCACTTCCGGTGACACGCCTACCCCAACTCTCGGATATCGAGTAGCTACAATTGACAGCAGCTGATCAGCTGTGGTAAACAAAGTACAATATATATAAATATAAACCAAAGTCTAGCTTCTCACAGTTCGGCAGGCACAACTTTCCCCACTCTTCTCTGTGCTCTAGCCCACCACAGAGATGCAGAGGAATTCTCACTGGAGCGCGATATTGGATCTGTTAATTTCGCTACCGAACCTTTCGTTGCTTCGTTTTTGAAGTGCTCAGAACTAAGTTCTACAGGAAGGACAGCGTGCTTTTCAGTCTCTACTTCGTATATTCATGAAAACGTGCGACAATATCCCGCTAGTGCTGTCTCGAAATCTCAAAGTTTTGTTTTTCGTCGAAACTTTGCCCATGGAGGTATTTCGATGTCTTGATTAGGAATTATATTCATTTTTTAACGCTGGCACCTTTTCGTGTCACTCCTCACAACGACTGTTTTCGTCAAACTGGCCGTAAGCTTGTGCGTAGAGCTTGTTTGTTGTCCTGATTACGAATATAAAATTCGTTTTGGGAATGACGCTGTTTAACGCAAATTTTCTGTTCTTCTGGGCTCAGGTACAGTGTTACGAGTAAGATCGTTAGGAAGGGGAATGCAGCGTTGGGTAAACTAAACATTGTATGGCGAGAGATGAAGTGTGTGAGATCATAGGGTAGGTGGCTTGCTCTCCCTTGATCCTCCTCTCTCCAAAGGCTTAGTCCTGATCGTGATCAAACAAGTGAGAGGGCGCAGACGAGTAGAAAATAGACGTCAAATGGCACCAACGCCAGAAATAAATGTCGTGTTCGTAATCAGGATGTCCACATTCATAATCAGGGCACCGAACTACCTCCATAGGCGAAGTGTGACGAAAAATAAAATTTTGAGATTTTGAGGCAGTGAGTCTTCTTCTTCTTCTCACTATACTTACAACTGAAAGGGTTAAGAATGGTCGCTAACAAAACGAGCAAAATCATCGCCGTTTCGGTGTCAACATAATGCAGAGATTTAATTGTGATATCCATCTGTTACCGCAACTCTCTTCTACTCAATATATGAGGCCGACCGTCAATACTTTCGCCAGCAACGAGATTGCTACAGTGAATCGAGCGAATCGAACGATGCACTAGCGATTCGAACTGGGTACCAGCGAATCGAACTAGGTACCAGCGAATCTTGCATAAAGCTTGAAACTAGGGTGTTAGGCTAGGTTTTGAGTGAGTGTGTGGTTGCCGCCGGACAAAGAGCCTTTGGTGAGGCCACACAACCTCCGAATTTCGCAGTCTCGCGCTGGTGTTGTTACGCCTTACTCCCCTATTTCGCCCGCGATAGGTTCTCGTTGATTGGTTTACAAGGAGTAATTAAATTATTCGATCATTTCTGTCAATATCTAACATACCGTTTGGCTGGTAATAGAAATGATCGAATAATTTAATTACTCCTTGTAAACCAATCAACGTGTACCTAT